AAGTAAAAATTTTTAAGTATTTAGGTTTCACATTAGATCAATGTTTATCTTTCTCTTCTCATATTGAAGATGTATGTTTACGTGCTCGAAAGAGACTTGGTGCGTTAAAGAGTGTCTGTGGCAGACGCTGTGGGCTTTACCCCCATACGGCTGTTTTTGTTTACAACACTTTTGTTCGTTCTCTTCTAATGTACTCTTCACCTACTCTTTTATGTATTTCTGAGTCCAGTTGGACGAAACTTCAATGTGTTCAAAATACGACGCTCAAAATCTGTTACCCGCTTCCCCCTTGGTACCCTACTACCGAGCTTCATACTCTCTCTTCGTGTCAAACGCTAAAAATGTATACTCTAAAGCTCGCTTCATCTTTCATCGCTCATGCTGTTTTATATAATAAACTTATTGTCTATATTGTTAATTTTTACCTCTCGCATGAGCGAAAACGTTAATTGAATCGTTTACTTCCGCGTTTAAATCCGATCAAAACAATTGTTTGTAAACTTTTAGAGCTGTAATTTGATCTAGAAATGTATGTCTTTTTTTTCATGTACAAAAGTAGAAAAATGAATTTTCTTTTTCTTTAAATGTCAAAACAAAAATGTGTTAATCTCTCTATCAATTTTATATTTTTCTTTTTATACTGCAGTGCAAACGGACATCAGGTCCGAGCATTTCTTTTCGCAATAAATCATCATCATCATGAATAAAAAAGATTATGTTGAGAAAGTAAAGGAAATGCTAAAGGATAGTAAGAAGTTCATAGTAGGGAACGTTGATGAAACCACAGAAGAGGAGCAAAAGATTAATCGTCGGTTAACACAATTAAAAAGAGATAAAAAGACCACAGCAAAAGAATATGATAAATTATTTATATCAGGAAGTTCAATAACAATGATATATTGCACAGTAAAAGTTCACAAACAAAATTATTCTCTTAGACCTATAATATCAATATGTAATGCACCAAATTATAAAATAGCAGCACATCTAGCTTCAATGATAAAACAATGTAATGATCAATTATCATCGTATGTAAAAGATAGTTTTGAATTCGTTAAAATGTTACAGAACAATATAGTTGGTAGTAATGAAATAATGTTATCATTCGATGTGGAATCATTATATCCTAATGTATCTGTGACGGAAGCGATTGATATTGCGGTAAAGATGTTATGGGGAACAAACAAAACAATGAAATTTATGAAGTTAACTAAATCAGAAACATATATATTATTGTTTAATCTAGCACTACGTAATTTACAATTCAGATTATATAATGAGTATTACAGACAAAAAGAAGGTGTTGCTATGGGTAGCCTTCTTGCTCCCATTTTGGCAGATATTTTTATGAATAATTTAGAAAAAAAAACATATAGAACCACTGACATCATCAAAAATTATAATATGGATTAGATATGTAGATGATGTGTTTGTAACTTAATAATGAAAGGAAATAAACAAGACACTTTAGAAATTTTGGATGCAATAAACAAAATACATAAAAACATAAAATTTACGATTGAATTAGAATGTAATAAAACTTTATCATTTCTTGACGTGTTAATAAGAAAAAATGACAAAAAATATGATACAACAATATTTAGAAAGCACACTAACACAAACTTATACTTAAAATCGGATGCATGTTTACCAGGGTATCAAAAAATAGGATTAATAAATTCGTTAGTGATAAGAACATTACGTATATGTTCAAATAATGTTTTATTAAATGAGGAATTAAAATTCTTAAGACATGTATTAAATGCTAATGGGTATCCACTAAAATTGATTGAACGAACAATCAAACATACGATACATAAAGAAAAGCAAAAAGAACAACAAAGTAATATGAATAAAAATCAACAAAGGAATAATGACACAAATGAAATGCCAATTAACATTGTTCTCAGTTATCTAGGTAAGGAATCATATTCATTTGGGAAAAAATTTAAGAAATTAATGAAAAATATCAAAATTGAATGTCCGGTTATCTTTAAAAAAAAACCAAACAATCGGACACCATTTTACAAACCAACTGAAAGGAATTAACAAACAGAAAGTTGGTGTGGTATACTGTATTGAATGTAATGATGATCATAAACTATGCATTGGACAAGCAGGAAAGAATGTAAATGTTAGAATGGAACAACATAAGGAGAACTGGGAAAAAAACTGATGTCAGTTCAAAAGCGACAGAGCACATGAGAACTCTAAATCATTCATTGAATTTTAATGAACCATCAATATTATCATTTGAAATAAATGGAAAAAAACGTGAAATTAAAGAGGCATTACTACTGAAGAAATTTCAACATTGGGCTTTCAATGAGTAATCGTTGAAAACAGTAATATGCTGACAGTGAAGGAACAGTATTGTATTGGTTAAAAAAGAAGCAGTAGAAATAAAGGTTGACTCATAATTTATGAATGAGGCCTTATAGTAGATGTAAATAACAAGTAACGCTCATCTGCAATTCGCAGAACCCTTACTGGAAGGATGCCTCTTAATATGCATCTTTGCTCAATTCTAAGCAGGACTTAAACTTTAAGGTCAAGATAAGATACAATGAATAATCATGGTAGACTGTCATTGTTGTATCTTATTATGTTGATAATCAGGACAGATGGACCCGCAAAGGAAAGGAAAGAGTAAAGTTTGCATTGGTCAAAATGTTTAATTGAAAACATAAATTTTTATCGGCAACTTTGCAATTTTTGAAGTTCAAGAAAGTAATACATGTGTGTTACTCTGTTACTCTTGGTAAAGTAACAAAGAACAGGTTTTTTGTTCTTTTCTCAAAAAAGCTTTCTGAAAAGAGTTTTGTAGGGGTGAGAGTGAAATAATTCCACCCTCACCCTCACCAAACCCTTCAAAAAGCGCAGCCGTCAAAGTGCAGTTAAGTTTTTAAAATATTATTGAGTCGTTTTCCCTCGATGTTGTAATTTTGGCACAGGTTTTCCATTTCTTTTCAAATATAAGTGTTATATGGCTTTATGTAAAAGTTAGAATATTTTCTCTCCACTACTCACTCACGTTTCCGTAGAATAGTGAACGAAGGAAATACAACACGAAGTTTATTCTGGGATCTACCATTCATAACTTGCTCATTTTATGACGAAACTGAACAGTTTGTTTAGTATCATAATTTTTGTGAGAAAGTAGTCAAACGTCGACGGTAAAATGTCGACAAAAAAATGTCGAAAATCAAATGTCGACCGAAAAAAAAATGTCGACAATGTAAACGATCGACATCATGAAATACAAAGAAAAGAAGCCGCTGATGAAAAGATAAATTGCAGCATGAATAAATTAAATTTATGGTTTATAAGGTAAAATTCGAATACATGTCAATGAAAAATAAAATAAAAATGCATATGAGTGAGAACGAAGAGCTAGAATCATACATATACCAACACATTCGTTTAATTTTCATTTTGTGCCGACAATATCGCGAACGACATTACCGCGAAGACTCGTTTATTAGAAAAGAAGAATAAATGAACCTGGTTTTGTATTTTATATATCATGTCGCGGAAGACGGAGAGGGGGAAGGGCATTGTGAGAGTGAGTTCGAAAAGTAGTTTCACACAAAACATATTTTCATGATGCACTACTAGATATTTGTGACTGTGTCAGATAATGACTAGTCACCACTTAACTTCAGTTAATTTTGAAAACATGATGTACAAAATAGAAAAGCGGCCTCATTTATTGGTCTTTTGCAATAAACAATTGTTCGCGGTAATATCGTTTTTTGTATTCGCGGTAATATCGCTGTATCGATGGTACATGGACTCTCAGTGCTAGAATGTTTAGGTACCCTTCTAAATGTCTAGAAGTCATTGTGGGAGAAAGTGATTCACGGGAATTGCTTTCTACAGGTAACAATTTACTACTGTACAACAATTATCCACTGTCGACAATTTACCTGTCGACATTTTTACTAGTCGACATTTTGTTTTCGACATTTGTCTACCTAATCATTTTTGTTACATTTCAAAGTCATAAAAGCCTTGTGAGTCTGATACTAAAAAACCTATGTAGTTTCGATAAAAAAATTACTACGTTATGAGTAGTGCCCTATTGAAGCTGTTTTTCTCAAGCGCATGACTTCCTGAATCTCTTGAGTAACAGTCTCATAACGCAGAGACATTTTCTTCATGCAAAACGTATTTTTTGCCTTGACTCAGTCTCAAACGTATTTTCTTGACTCAAGTAATTGAGTTTCGTATGTCAAAGAAACTCATTCGCATGAAATCTTATCTCAGAGCACTTGAGAATTTCATAGAATTGGCTTTAAGCTTGACTCTCCTCAAGTATTCAGATTCGTTTAAATATTTCTCCCCTCATGCGCATACTGCAACCAACACAAGTCCAGTATATGAGATAAGAAAGCGAGGCACAGACCTCATATCAAGCACATTGGGTGAATAAGAAACTCATCTACAGGTAGACAATTCATGAGCATGGAATCTTGTGTGCTTGAGAAAAAACCTTCACGGAGTAGATTCTAGAAAACATTTTCTGTTGTATTTTCTTCGTCCTTCACTTGGCATTGAACCTCCATCACTATTAGTTGTCTTAAAAACAGTTAGTTCTCGATGTTCCCAGAGAAGAACTCATCAAACAACAAAAGATGAATTTCTCGTTTGTCCCGGGATAGAAAACTTGTATTGAATGAGCACTTATACGACT